TGTCCAGATGACCTGACTGAAAAATGTTGGATTGTATACCTGGATTATTGAGCATGGACTTTGTTAGTTTCTGGTGGGGTTTTGGGTTCCTGCACCCTCCGGTCTATTTTTCTCCTGGGGCCATCTATGTTGGCCACACCCTCCTAACATCTTGGTAATGTGTCTCTTTGTTCTTGTCCAATGTCAACTAGTCTCGTTGATATGAGCTGCTCTATGGCCTGAATATAGCTTGAGCCTGGCTACCCATTAAATGTTGCTCCATGCAGAAGGGACTCTGAAGCCTGGAGGAGGTTTGACTAACTCAAGCCGAGCTGAAATGTTTGATGTGAAGTGCAGTGTGTCACTAACTTGGAAATCATGCTCAAATACCCCATGGTCCAGCAGTCTCAATCTTACAATGTGTGCTAACGCTCCATATAAGCAGGAACTCCACAGACACCTGTTGACCTGTCCATTGCAGGTTCCAGTGTGTAATGGAGAGACAGAAACCAGCTTCAGTTTGGGAGCTGCTGGTCTGAGTCAGTGGTGGGAGGTGTACATATCCAAAATAAGATCTAAAAGTTGTACTGCAGCCAGCAGCAGGAACTGTAGGATCAGGTGGATTTACCTTGATACTTACTGCCATACGGCGAGTTGGTGGACGAGCCATTCAGGAAACCGGGTGACGACGTCACTCCAAGGTTTGGCATGCCAGTGTTACCGTAACCATTCAGGCTGTTGCTGACCGTGTTACCGTAGTTACTCTGTTGGGGGGTGGAGCTTGGGACATATCCCCGTGGTGACACGCTGCTGGTATTCCGACTGTAACCAACTGGAAGAGGAAAACAACCAAGAAGCAGCAATTATTCATCAGACTAACAATCTATTACTACTTGCAGTTTTGCTTTACTAGTTCTACCTCTCAAGACGTAAAGTCCCTTCTGTTGGGACTTTATCAGGAAGTCCAAACCATCTTCCTGCCAGTTAGACCTTCAGCCCCCACTTCTACAACTGACCTAGTTCATTTCCTGCATGATTTTAAAAAAATCACTGTTATGCCACTTGATTGTTGATATGTGCTGCTGATTATCCATGCTGCTGATCTATTTCATGCTGCTGTGTTCATTCATTGTGTACTATTAGTGCTTAGTGTATTCTTAGTTCATATCCAAGATCTTATTCAGAACTCTTGCAGTGCCTCTGTGAGTTGTCTCTGGACATGCCCTTGTGCCCCCCCACCCACCCCCCCCCCCCCCCCCACCCACCCCCCAACCCACACACACCCACACACAATGCCAGCGTCATTATGTGCATGAGGTTTTTTTTTTTTTTTTCCATTGATGTTCAGCCAAAGATCAAGAGCATATTAGGATTTTTTTGCCTCCAAAACCTATGTTGTCACGTTCACCACTTAATTGTCCGTCCACAGCTCTCCTTGTAAATGAGTCTTGGAGGCTCAATGTGATTTATCCGTTTAAATAAAGGTTGAATGAATTAATAAATACTGCTGTTTTTCTTTCAAATTTATATTTTTGTTGGATGTAACTGGGACCCTGTGTACATAATTTTGTTCCACCTCATGTACCACATGAGATGCGAATGACAAATAAAGAAACTGAGTTTGATAAAGCACCTGTCCAACTCCTTATGACCATGTTCATATGTTGTTGCTTCAGTTTTCTGTTTGGATTATTTTCCTGGTGTGTTTGTTTTGATTTAATTTTGGTTCTAGTCAAGTTCTGTAGAGTGACCTTGAGTATTTTGAAAGGTGCTAACAATAAACTGTAGTATTGCAATGATACTGTCGGAAACAGAACATTGTGCGAGGACAGCTGACCAACCACTGGACCAGAACCTACAAAACCTCAGCTCCCAAGAGGCAGGTTCAGGTCTGGGTCCACAGTTTTGACCATTTGACCCAAGGGCAGCAGAAGGGTTTAAGTTTAACTGCCTTCATACATCTCCTCCTACATGTCTCTGTGTGAGTGCAGCTACAGCGTGCGCTCTCAGGACATCATTACCTGCAGTGTTCCCTCAGGGAGGACTGAACTAGACAAAAGGACCTTCTCCTACTCCGCTCCTTTTTCCTGGAATATCTTGTAAAAAGATCTGAAGCTCTTGACCTTTGACCTCTCTAAGTGGCTGCAAACATCTGCGGAGTTCCTGACAAGAACCAATGCAGACATGTTCCTGTTTTTATCCTGATGCATGCTCAATAATCCAGGTAGAAAAATCTAAAAAAGTTAAATCTGGTCCTCTGGACATTCAAAAAAACAAAACAAAGAAAAACAAAAAAAAAAATGTAGAAACGTTTCGTCTCTCAACAGTAAACAGCCATCAGGTGCTAATGATCCATTGTTAGGCTGATGGTCCTTCTTGAGCATGTGATCAGCTGGTTCTGGTTGTCAGCAGCAAACTGGTTGATCCACTCTGAGAAGGTGCTATTTAAGAGACTGAGCTGAATACAGCTCCTCAGACTGAGGAAGTCTCTTGGATGAGAGACGAAACGTTTCTACATTTGTTTTGTTTTGTTTTTTAAATGTCCAGAGGACCAGATTTAACTTTTTTAGAGGTTCCTGTTTTTAGTTTCTACATCACCCTAGCTGTTTTTTTTTACTACAATTTTCCTTTTGACCGTCCTTTTGGTTGCCATTTTATTTTAATTTGTAAAAAAAACAACAACAAAAAAACAAATCTGTACACCTCTTATGATCGTCTATTGTTGTCCATTGTTGTCATCTTTCTTTGTTAAAAAAAATCAGGTCTCTCTTGTAAATGAGTCCCTGGGCTCAATGGGATTGACCTGTAGAAATAAAGGTTGAATGAAAAAATTCTGCCCTTACCTTGTGTTGTCTCAGAGACGTTGACGGCCAGCTGTCCGCTGAAGGAGTTTACTGCCATCATGCCATGCGAGGTGGTGTTGCCAAGCGATGGGATCTGGTTGTGGTTCCTGGGAACGCTGTAAAGCGCTTCAGCGATGTCCGCTGCTCGCTTCAGGATGATTTCCTGCAGAGAGAAGAGAAAACACATTGTGTGAATGAACTCCTGGAGACAACAGAGGTGTCAACTTCCTCTGGGATTACAGTCATTTTAGACAGTAGAGAGACCAGCAGAACCACCACAACTCAGGATCGTATTTCCCTATAGATGACAGAGACCCGAGTCTGCACCCAAAGGACCCAAGAACAGATGGTCTGCAGAAGAAGAAAAGATCAAATGTTCCCAACGTCAAGTTGTCTCGAGTCAAAGTTCAGAAACAACCCAACATCCTAACACGCACTGTCCACACAAGCACACACACATATACACAAGCACACACGCACACACACACACACACACACGCACACACACACACACACACACACATATACACCGAAACACACACACACAGACAGACACAAGAACACACATACCAAAACGCATGAACAAACACACAAATTGATAGTTGATTGATGGTTTCCTAACAGAGCACTTCACTCTCAGACTGCAGGTTTACTTGTGGTTCCTAGAGTTTCCAGCAGCAGAATGGGAGGAAGATCTTCCAGTTCTCAGGCTCCTCTCTTTTGGAACCAACTTCCAGTTTCTGTCCGTGAGGCTGACACATTGTCCAGTTTGAAGACTGGGATTAAGACTTTCCTTTTTGATAAATCCTATAGGTAAGGGCCTCCTAGATTCTTATCTGTAGCATTAAAGACTTAACGGTTAACTACTCGTTTAATTTGCTGAACTTCAGGTTTAACATATCCTTTAACACACACAGTCTTTAAACATTGAACAACTTACACAATACAAAACAAAACTGCATCTGTCGTCAGATGTCACTGTAACTCTTCAACTCTATGTGAGGGCCCACTCACCAACCAGACACCTGCTGGCTTATCCAGCTCTAAACCTTAAAGTTGCAGGCCTGAGCGAAGCTTGGGAGCAGTGAGGCCCAAAACTTAATGGCCGTTTCACTCTTTGAGCAAATAAATAAAACAAAACAGTACCTGGTTTAGTAGTTCAGTACATACAGACTCTGGTCCCAGTTCAGGTGAAGAGGAAAACCAAACGATGTTCTAAGGTGGTGATACAATCATCCTTCTGCTGGTCCAGGGTTTAACTCCAATGAGCAATGTCCAGGAGTAGGAAAGAAATATATGTATAATCCAAAGGCACTCTTCTGGCAGTCCATAAACACTCCAGTTATGACTAATCTTCACATCCAGGTCGGAATGATGAAGAGGCAGTCTCCTTAGTAAGCTGAACAAGCTAAACTAGGATTCCTGTGCAGCATTCACTTAGCTAGTGAATGATACATGTTCAATGTTAAACTGTCTCAAAGTGCAAAAAACAAAAAACTGCAGGACAAACTTCAAGCTGAAATGTCCATTTTGCTCCTCAAAACCATCAAACAAGCATCCATTACTGATCACTGTGTTAACAATCAGGAAACTCATTTAATTACTCCAAGCTGCAGCACCTGTTGCCACTGGTGTGCTGCAGCTTCCCAGTCACTTTCATCAAGCTGTACCTCCTGACTGCTCACACTTCCTTTGGCTTTTCACAATAAAGCAGAAATAAAATACATTAACCAAATGTTATACTTTTCTTGCTTTTAACTTATGTTGGTGCATTTTAAGCAGTTTTTAAGCATTTTACAGCATAAATGAAATACAATTGTAGCTATATTTACAACATATTTCACTTGAAGAGTTTTTACATTTTCTTTAAACTGTCACATATTTCATAAATTTAATCAGTGCACTAAAATATTTGTCTGGGTTACAATAGAAAGTACACCTGCAATATAGAAAGTACATCTGGAATATATTCAATTCAATTCAATTCAAAAATACTTTATTAATCCCAAAGGGAAATTATTTGTTGTTGTAACTCGTTATCCTCATTTCATTAAGAGATGTTATAGATGCTGATGCTGTAGACAGGAAGGATCTCTTGTAAAGATCCATCCCACAGTGGATCCTAAGAAACTGGCTGCAGATGCCGTCCGATCCGTCCACCCAGACTCGGCTGGCCTCTCGGTTCCCCCGGGCTGTAGGACCTCCTGAATGCCGAGCAGAATTCCTCCCTGAGCGATGGCCACTCCTCCCAGAAGTCTGCTGAGCTCCTCGTCTCTGTGGACAGAGAACTGTAGGTGCTGAGGGACGATCCTGTCCTTCCGCTGTCATGAGCCGTGTTTCCTGCTAGTTCCAGGATCTCAGTGGTCAGACACTCAAGCACAGCTGGCAGGTAGATGAGAATGCATCCACAGAACATCCTTTCAACTCATTTGAGATTTGGGGCTGTAGCTGAGATATTATTTGAGCTTTTGAGATGTTAATCAGCTGCTGGTTGTTGAAAACTGCCTCGTTGCCATGGTTACGCATCATAACAAATGTCCAAAACTAAAAAAGTTTCAGTAAAAATCCTTCCAGCTGCACAGCATCTGATACCAGAGGAAACAATCATCCAAAAAATGTGATTTACATCCAGAAAAAGAGGAATTAAAGTTTCCTAAAGCAAAATCTCAGAATGAAAGTAGAGCTGCTCCAACATGCAGCCACCTTGAGCGGCGCAGTTCTAGAACATATATAGTACATCTGGACTATAGAAAGTACACCTGGACTATAGAAAGTCCACCTGAACTATAGAAAGTACACTTGGAATATAGAAAGTACATCTGGACTATAGAAAGTACACCTGGACTATAGAAAGTCCACCTGAACTATAGAAAGTACACTTGGAATATAGAAAGTACATCTGG